GACGAAGTAGATCAAATCAAGGACACTGAACCGAGCAAAATGCTGAGGAGAAAAGGATCACCACAAGAATGCTTTGAATGATGCGGCAAAAGAGGTTCTGTGAGGCTGCTATTCACTGACTGAAAACGTAATGTTGCTTGATTTCTCTAAAAAGGCTAAAAATGGCTTCCAGGTTCTAGTTCTAGTGACAAACTCGTCAGTTAGTCCTTCCTTAAATACATTTCTCCCCACTCAGGTCCTGGCATGAGAAGCATGGCCACTATACCTCATGCCGTTTGTGCCACGTCCCCAAAGTCTCGTCGGGATACAGGGGCGCCTGCTTCCCTTAAAAAACGGGGCTGGATTTGATTTGAGGATGTCCATGGATGTCCCATTTTGTTTTGGGAATTACTTTGATTTGGATTTGGATTTGGCATGTGTTTCCGTCTCTTTTTCATTTGGACGTGGGGAAGGGACGGTCCTCAACCAAACACCCCATCCACGGCTTGCCAAGCTGCTGCCGGCCCTGTGACAGTGAGATGGGCGCCGGAAAGCCTGGCGCGTGCCGCGGCGGTCCGAACGAAGTGGCTCTCGGCCGCGTCGGTGGGTGCGGTCGTCGGTGGGTGGGGCCTCGAGTGGGTGGGGCCTCAGGTGGTTTTGGGGTGTCGAAAAAACGCCAGGCAACACTTGGAAGGGAAAGGTACCTCTGAAACCGCTTTAGGCACAATTAGCCATTAACATCATAAGTATCACAATATTGGCCGGGATCCGGCGTCACAGGACAGAAACAGAAAGGGGTTGGAGGATTTGTGGGTGGTCATTTCCTCTTGAGCGGGGTGATCTTTCATGCGGACCTCATGTCCGCCCATATCTGCAAAAATTGTATCTTATACTAATCCCATCCTCAAGTGACCTGGGACACCCACACAACGATCATGACATAATCAACTTGGAACATCAACATGTTCAACGTGCCAGCTGCACGGTAGAGGTTCACCATGTGCTCGTCATCCGCGACTGCGAGGACATCACCATCTGGCTGCCCTCGAGTGAAAGCTCTTGAACCAGCAGAATTTGTGCTTTATCTTTATGCAACTGCAAATCATACAGATGCAGCAGTCTGTTGTAGTATTATATAGGATGTCATATTGTTAAAACATAAGAAATGATGTGATACAAATGTGGATGATGATGGTTAATAACGGCCTTTCTCTAAAACAGTGGACAAACCCAATGGATAGTTAATGATTAGAATTAATGATACGGTATTATATCCACATCACACATCTATTGACAGCATTAAACAGGCCATCAGAAAACCAAGAAACAAACAGATCTGTCCGAATCTGTCCCAATATGTCCCAATGCTGTTGGTGTTTCGTGAGGACGGATTCACCTCACGCGGATTCCCTCATCCCGGATGTCGCGGTTAATGCAGCGATGCGCCTCCAGAGCCATAGCTCTGGCAAACCGCATTCACATCCGACTGGGCATAGCTCTTCTTCCAGACCTCAGGTTTTCACTCGTCGTCGACCTCGTGAGCCGCCTCATGGTCTTCGACACCCCAAACATCCCATCCGAAGACCGTACCAAATGGATGGGGCCCGTTTCGGGGGCGGCCACGTTCGGCCGCCCAATTGGGCATGATCATGGGCTTCCTGAGCATCGAAAACAGAGCTTCTTGGATGGTTCTTGCTCCAAATGCTCCTGTTCGTTGCCCCAGATGGATGGATTGCTTGGCCCTTCCGGGTGAGGAAGAGCGGATGGGTCATGACCAGTCCAGCATGTAGCGAAGGACCAGTCCATGTAGTAGGGCCATGACCCACAGCCACCAGGAAAATCGTGGTCAGTGGATGGTCCGATGGATTGAGTCGGAACATCTCCAAACCAAAATGGATTGAAGACTCAAGATAGCAATGCGAGCTCAAGCGCCAGAAATAAGGACAAGTCCCTGCTGCTAAAAACGGAGCAAATCTCCTACACCAGTTGGACCATGCAAACAAACAAGGTGTTTTCTTGCTGTGATAGCCGTGTTTATCCAAGGAGGAGACGATTGATCATTGGTACAAGAGGGCGGTTGTCTAAATATATCTAACTGTTCATACTACTGTTCATATGCGGTATAGTCATCTGGCCTTCTGGTCTCATAGATTCTATGCTGTACTACATACATGTCTGCCCATCCGTAAGAGACCACAGTGGACCGACAGTGTTGATTCCGTCGATGCCAGGTACCATATACCAAACTGGGTTGTTCACTTGGGACTTATCCATACTTATCCCATCCCCTCTAATTAATTAATCAATTGATTGTTAAAATAAGGCCTTCTGTGGTTGATTCATGTGTTTTCAAGGGTCCATCGAACCATATTCGTCAAATCCACCATATTTGAGTGAAGATGAGACCCCCACGGGTTCACATAAACCTCTTGTGGTTTTTGTTGGCGTCTCCAGAGCAAGGCTTAGTTGTTGGGCCTACCTAGTCAACTCTCCGCCTCTTGAGTGCCCACGGAAACACGCATCACACGCTCCGGTGACCCAACACCTCCGCCCCTGCCGCAATCGGACCCAGACACCCCGGCCACCGGCCAGCCGATGATGTTCCGCCAGGGCCCGGCGCGCGGCATGTCGCGCACGGCGGCCAAGCAGTGGAGCCGCTCACCGGTGCCGGTGCGCCACACGAGGATGGAGAGATCCGTGGAGTTGGACACCTGCGAGCGACGGTCGCGGTCGCGGTGCAAAGCGGAAACCGAGAAGGCCGTCAGGTCCGTCCGGCGGCTGAGAACCCCAATGGTTCTTGGTGCGCTGAATTCGGAGCAGTCAATCAGGTCCATCCATATTGGTTCAGATATGTTCATATCAACACACATAAATATGTGGGACCTGGACCTTACGTCTGGCAAAAACACTCAAGTTTTTGGCTTACCCGGCCTGGTGATGAAATGATCCCTTGAGACGGCACGAATTAGATGGAGTATTATGATGTTAGAGATCCCAGTGATATCAGATGCGAGGCCGCGGCTGAGGTGAATAGCCCTTCTAGTGGAGACTAGGTCGTTCCAAAAACGAAGAGGACATCTGGTGCGATGGTGGTGGTGGTGGTGGCGGCGATGGCGGCGATGGTGTCGGTGGTGGACCTAGTTGAGAGAAATGGTGTGAAACTCCCAACCCTGCAATCTCACGGGAGTCAAATGGCCGGACGGTTTGGCTGTCCTTCCGTCCAAGGAGCTAAGAACTGGGCATCCGCAGTGAACATCACCTGTGGATTTTCGGCCAGATTCCACACAATGGTGCGGATGGTGTGTATTTTGCGCCAGCAATCTTGGAACTGAAGCTATACTGAGGCCTAGGGAGATAGGAGTTGTGGACCATAGTTTTGGGATAGGTTGAGACACCCGACATAGGACTTGCTGCAAGTGGTCATATATAATGTCATATATGCCATTGGAATGTGTTATCCTAAGAACTAAGAACAGTTTTCTTTGCAAAGCCTTGAGCTTTTTCAAGATCCCCGCGGTCATCTGCGGGTTGGGATCGAAGACCGCTGACTTGTCCGCCTCTCCAGTTGCGTTTCAACTGTCGTGGACACCAAAACAGCCTGGATCAGCCTGGTGCTTTGTAGGAAAAGGCTGTCCTGATCTCGACAACTCTGTAAAAACAGATTTCGCGCCTACAACAAGCACCTAACCTGCACCCAAAGCTACCATCAAACTACCCTCCGCCCCACCAACCCCCAACAACTTGGCCGAGTCGCATGGGTCGGGGAAGAGGAATTCCCCGTGAGCGTCCCGCGATACATGATCTCCTAGGCCCGGAAGAGGGCGCGGAGGAGCATTGAACATCGGGCCGGTGGATTTGCTGAGGGAACCGGACCAAAAACTGAAACACATCTTCGCCATGGAAAAAGGATTTACCCATAGGGAAAATAGATAAACAACAAAAATCACCTTAAGCTAACCAGGTCTAGGTGGTGAATGATGTTTCTCTTCCCACGGGATCTGGGGGGAGGTCACGCTATTTCATAGACCTCGGTGGGGATGCGTCATGGAACCAAGAAGATTAACCTGCCCCATAGTTTTTTGGGGGCTCTTAGCTTGACTAACACCCATGCATCTTCTGTCAAAAACGTATGCATCTTCTGGCCGTGATAGTCTCTATAGAGGAGTGTATCTCAAGTGTCGTCCCAAAGACTGAGCTATAGACGAATCTATTTACTTTTTGTTCCATCGCTTCTAGGGTGGAGGCCATTGCTTCTAGGGTGGAGGCCATCGCTTCTAGGGTGGAGGCCATCGCTGGTAGGTTGGTGGCCATCGCTGGTAGGTTGGAGGCCGTCGCTGGTAGGTTGGAATGCTTATTGCCATTTCTTTTTGCAATCACTATATACGTTGCATGGCAGTCTCAAAGAATCCTGCAATTGTTTGCACTTGCAAGATTCACTTGTCCGAGGTGGTTGCTTGCGATCGCTGGGGCGTTTTCGTCCAATCCTTACCAAACCCCAGAAACCCTAGTGCTTTCCCACTTAACCCCCAAAGCCAAGCGGCGCGATGCCGCTCGGAACCCTTGTGCTTGTGACCAGCCTTGGTCCTCCAAACCAGGCGAAAGAGGTAAATGTTCTGATCCCAACCTCATGGCGCCCGGACGGGCGGAAGTTCGGCGACACCTAGCCGCCCAACGGACGAAACGCTTCTCCCGGCAAAACGAAGCCGGGAAAAACGCCCAACGGTTTTTTTTCTCCTGGACAGTGAGTCCTACAAGTCTTCTCTCATCATATCATTATATCATAGATCTGGGTCATCTGGGTACCTTTCAGGAGTTAAACGCTACCATCCTAAGCCACTTTGTTTGTTGCTTCCCACACACTCGGACTGTATATATATAATATATATATATATAGTATATATATATATAGTATATATATATTTACATTGAGGTCGGTCTCAGGGGTCCATGTCAGCAAATATGGCAGTCCCATGGAGTGTCTGGGATTGTTAGGATGTGATAGGATGCGTGGGTCCTCAGCACCTGGCGCCAGCATGGCACACCTTGCGGGATCACTTGCAGAACACACAGCGTCTTAAAGAAAAGGGGACACCCTGGGCCTTGACCACCAAGTAAACAAGTCAAATCAATGCAACCCATGTATATATGTGTATATAACTTGGTGGAGTCCATTTGCGTCTCTGAGAAATGGGGTCGTGGTTGACCTTGCATTCCGAGGGTAGGAGAGTCGCAATTCAAGGATGGGCACAATTCTCCCGGCGATACTCAAAGCACAACTCTTCCGAACCTTGGGAACTCTACAAGTACCAACCATCTGCCGCCAATCCGATGATTCATTTTTCCAACCTTTCCACCATCGTGCACCTGGCCCCACAAAACGCATGCGCACGTGGCGATCGACCCCAAGACGCATGGGGAGAGACGTTCACAAACGTCCTAGTTTCACCCTCCTGAACTGAACCCCCAAAAAACAGTTCTTTGAAAGGTGCCACGATAGAAAACCAGCATGGACCAGCGGTGTAGTGTGCTAACATGAAATCGTGAAGTATCAACAGAAAGGAGATGAAAGGAGTGCTCCTTGTCATCGAACAATGTACCGCTCACAGCGCTCCCTCTCATGATCAAACCATGCCACCTGGGCCACCTGAGACCATTTTTTGTGCGAACTTGTTCCATCCAAGGAACAAGCACAGGCAAGATAGCGAGAGTCTTCACCTGCAAAACATGGGTGTTCATCTGCAGTGTTCCAATTCAGGAACCAAGAAGCTACATGAGAGCTAGTGGCTAGCGGGTTGAGGTGCACGGAAGCACGATGAGCTGAGCTCACAAGAAACAAACACCCCTGGAAGCACACCAACTGTGACCAAAGGCCCTGCGGACCCACTGGTGCACAGTGCTTTTGGTCATATAATGTTCTGAAGCCAATCTCCAAAAGCATCCAGAACAGGAAACCGCGTGACACACGCCTTCACCAGCCGTCACCAGCGAAGCTATGCAGTCACTACCACAAAATCCACCAGTACCCACCCGACCAAACCACTCACCCGAGGCAGTTTCGCAGTTTCGCACGACACGAGTTGGCGCCGTCCGCGTAGTTGGAGAACACGATCCAGCTGATGACCTCGCCCTCCTGGTGAAGGTAAAATGGTCGAGAAGGGTGGAACCAACACATATGAACACATGGTTGCACGAGTTCGCCTCGTTACAAGTGGAGAACAATGGCCAAATGGAAATCAGAAGTCAAAGAGAATGACATCGTCCGACTCTCCCACATCCACAATCCACAGCCCTTCCATGGCCAAACATTTATGTCTCCATTGCTGACAGCAATTGCAAAACATCCCTTCTGCATCAATCAGGTCCCCACAGCACACCTCCCGCAGCTCTCCCGCTGCTCCTGTCCACGGAAGTCTTTCACAAAGGAGACCCGGCGCCGGTGGACGCCTCGGCGGACCACGCGAACACCGCTTTCACGGTGCGCGCGGATCACGAGTGGCGGACTGTCCGCAACAAGAGCCCTTCTTGTTCGGAGCGGCTCTGAAGGGAGGGGAACTCCAAGATGGTGACGATGCCCAGCTGGCCCAAGACCAACAAATCGCCTGGTGCAAGGCCGTGAGACCATCTTCCTGAGAGGATCTCGTGTATGACGGATTTGCTTCCGTTCCACTCTTGCCACTGAAAATAGACTGGCAGGACACTCGGAAGCACCAAATGATATTATATAATGATTGGACAAATAAAAATGATGAAGCACAACATGATGTCTTTTGACACTCTGATGCTCCAAATGATGATAAATAGTTATAACGAACACATGATAAACGAATCTGACCATGAACAGGCCCATGTGGGCCCTCTAGTTTCTGCACATCTGCGATGATTGCTTAGTGAAGGCTAAGGATCCCACAACAAATGCTGTGCTAGGATATGATATGCAAGGTGAGTATAATTTTGGAGAAATGTTCATGTCCTTTTTTCATCTAGATGTCAAGCAATATGGAATTACCAAGCCATGTGGACGGTGTGTATCTGGCACGATCTCTCAAGCTCAAAAAGTAGAACAGTGAGAACATGTCCTGGTTCCAAAAAATCCCTCAGGAACCTTCAAAAAAAAGCTGGGTGCTCACATTGTCTCCCTCTTCTCCCTCGCCCCATCGCCCCTCACTGGGTGCTCGCCTTCCGGGGAGAACTCCAGCCGGTGCACCGTTTGATCCGAACGATAGGTCCTTGGGGCGGACAAACACCGCATCGCCGCGGGAAACGCACCGAGAGCAACGAGCAACCTGCTTTCACCGTTAAGCGGAACGATGAAGTGAACACGCATATCGTGCGAGTGTGTGTGCGTGTCTGTGTGTGTGCTGAGTTTTTGAAGAGTGTTACAGTATTCATGGTGTTCAATTCTGTGACGCACCATGGAAATAGTAATAATTATTATGTTTCATGTTATTTTGGAAGGGAAAAAGGAATACAGGAAACATATCATAGCTTCTATAACCAGACATGTTGAAAGTATAAGTCGTGTGGTCTTGAAAAGAAGAGATGCCACCAGCCCTTGCGATGGAAAACCACCATCCCTTACCAAAGAAAGAGGATCATCATCGCAAAGCATGTTGGTTTCTGGTCCAAGCACATTTGGTTTCAAATGACCATGAGAGAAGTCAGTGCAACAAGGTCCTTTGAACACTCAACAAGGCAACAAGCAAAGGACCTTGTTCAACAACAAGGTCCTTGTTTGAGGTTCAAAGCACCTTGTTTTCTGTTCAACGCAATGCCTTCTTTTCCTTTTTCGCATGATGATCGTTCCGTTCCGGTGGGTATGTTCATCGACTTGACAGTCAGCCAACTAAGTCTCCATACTAAGCCCCGTTATACAGACATATACCACGGTTTCAAAAAAGGAGGGCTCAATGCAGTGGCGAGTAAGTGGCGGAGTAGAGTAGATGGCTCATTCCACCATCAAGTCCTTTCGGGACTAATGGAGGAGTCGATTTGGTACCATATACACGGAACTTGGTGGTTCTGAATTTGGGACTTATCCCCTCAAAAATTCAATCAGCCAAGGCCTTCTAACTGGGACTTATATATCCTTTATATCAATCAAACAATGCCATCCCAATAATCACTGTAGGCGTTCATCCACGCAACTTCTCCAGCAACGGCTTCCGTTGCTCCAAGTCCCAGAAGTGGATCACCTCGATCGGAGAGCGATCCGAGTGGTGAAGTCGTTGTCACGTGAGGAGCGGAAGGAAGAATTCCGGGTGAAACCCATGGGATTTGAAGGGATTCAGTGAGGATTTTTATTTCTATAGGATTTTGATTGGATTTCATAGATCTCAGACCAAGCTTTGCAGCTTCATGCCAGTTCTTTCTAGCACGGGTGGAGAGTCATGCGGCGGCTCAAAAACTCTACCACTTGCGCTGAGGGGAGATTGGGCCAACAAAGAAGTCTTCCATGGGGTGATTTTCAAGGTGCACGTTAGTGCGGATATGGCTGTCGGTCATGGCTGTCGACCGATCGGTTGACCGTGAGCAGGGCTGCAGGATTTGACCCATCCCATATGTTTTGAATTCAATCTCATCATAATAGTAAGGCAGGGGGCAGATGCTGCAAACCGTGCTTGATGGCAACATTTGCCAAGGCTGCTCAAGCTCACTAGTATGGTCCATGTGTCCCGGGAGTCCCAGTTTTCACCAAAGGCCGGAGTAAACCAAAACATCCGTAGGCTTGGGGTTCCCTGTATTGTCTTCCAGTGTAGTATTGGGGTTCCTTGCAAACCAATCAGTCTGGTCCGGGGTTTGCATGGGTTCTCCGTTTCTGGTATTTGTTGATGTCGACCATCGACGAGTCGAAACCCTCACACAGACGAGTCGTTCTAAAGCTTATAAACATGTGTTCCAAGCAGGCTCTGCCAACGGACCCCAGCTTTACGGTTCCCTCTTGATAACAAAAACATACAAAAACACAATCCCTTCATGTCTTGTTTTGCAAAACGACCCCGCCGTGGCGCCGCAACTCTGTGCTGCCCAACGACCCCACGCTCATCGCCGCTGGCACAAAGGCCAGGGATCTTGGGATGATGCGCCAAGGCCCAGGCCTCCACCTTGTGGCCCACCTGCACCGAAGAAGAAACACGTCGTCCACGTGTGTGACGCAAACTCACGTGGCCAGTTCCGGCGGGTGTCCGGGATCAGCCAGCATCCTTCTACTGTCGCACCCGGCCTGCACGACTCGCCAGATGCAGCGACGCTGGCCTGTTCAGGACCAGGTGCTCTCGGCCGAGCGACGTCAAGCAGCGCTTGCTGGGGTAGAGGTTTTGAGCCTAAGGAAGGGGGACTCTGATGTAGTGGAAATAGCGGCCAAAACGGGTGATATTCTGAAAAGAGAACCATTGAAACCATCAAACACCTTGCTTTCAACGCGTGGCTTGAGCCCGCCCCTCTAAGCAACCATGTCCTTTTGGCTGCTGCCTCAAATGGGCTCGGTTGTCGTGTGACACTGTGACACCCCCCTTTTCCACCTAAATCCCTGCATGCATCAGCCATGAACCCCAACTTTTCTCGCTATGCGCCTGTCAATCCCAGGTCAAAGATCACCAGCATATGTCCTTCCGAGGCGGCCAAAACCAGCCCTCGCTCCTGGGCGGGAGGCGTGGAAAAACCAGGGATGGGATGCGGGGTTTTGGGAGATTCCGAGGTCTTCATGACATCCCGAAGTATGCCGATGTTTCAGGCAGGACACATACAATCACCGATCAAACCGGAAGAGTGAGCAATCAGGATCGGATCTTTCCAAAGCGCAAATCGTGGGTTTTACTTTTTGGGCTTACAACAAACACGTAGTTAGGAATTCCTGACCAGTCCGCAGATTTATATATGTCATAGGCTTAGGATGTTCTCATGTTTTGCCCGTCCAGGATGACCAAAACGATGTCCAATTTGCTCTTAAACATATTTAAAAAATGAAGCCCCAATCCCTGTCGATCGAATATGATCGAATCACATCCTCGACTCCTCAACTTGGATGTGTTTGGTGATACCGCACCACAGGGTTCCCTGATGTTCCCTGTACAATCTCGGAAAAATTGTCCAAACAATAGTGACACAAGTTCAATGACTTGAACAACATGTTCCCCACAATTAAACACATGGTTAGTTGGGTCTTGTCACAATCTGAGGTACATTGGATGAATGATGGTGCTAAAACCAGCTGGTCTTGTTAGGCGTTTTCAGGGCCAGGATGTTAACAACCACTACTACCAATGCCCTTCAACAATAGCCTGAACTACTACAAATTCTGAACAATAGCCTGAACACCCTCCATGTGGTCCGCCAAGCTCCCACAAACCCGACTGTGCTGGACCCCAAACCCCGCCCAACGGCGCCACTGCCAAGGGTCATTCACCGCCAAACTGCGCCATTTGGGACGCAGGCCCTTGGGAAACTCCTCCGCGTTGCCGGCCGACTGACGGTGGGAGGTTCCGACGGAGTGAAACATGCACGTGCAGGGTGGATCGAGCAAAAGCTGGCCTGAAGGAGAAGATGATTTGCAGATGACGCAAATCCTGATCCACCACTTCTGATGTAATCATCAAAATTGATGTGCCTATGGGGTACCCAGGCTTCTGGAGGTGGCGCCATCTCCCGTTTTGTTGGCAAAAAGAGGGTTCTGAAAACGATGTAGCCATATGAAAACCTTGGATTCTGAAACAGGCTGAGAGAAAGGTGACGTATTGTTCAACCCTCTTGGTTCTCTTTGGAATTGCAATGTTGAAGGGGCAATCCTTGATAATTCAAGAACCCTACATTGGAGACAAGAAAGCAAAAGCACTGGCCACTTGATTACAATGTTGAAGCAGGTCACCCAAGCTCCAGCGCGCCTGTGAAACCAAGAGCGTATTGAGCCTGGTCACCCGAACTCCAGCATGCATGTGGAGCCAAGATCATTCAACCAGGCCACCGTGTGAAGCGAAGATCATTGAACCAGGTCACCATGTGAAGCCAAGATCATTGAACCAGGTCACCCAAACTCCAGCATGCAAGGGAAGACTATTGAGCCAAAACGGCCAGCCCCTTTTCATGAACTTGCGTGGCGCACTTGGGCCCTGTGTGGGGGAAGTTGTTCATCAGTGTTGGTCTCCAGCGCCCAACACCACACCATTGCTACCATCACCACCACACCGCGATCAACTTTTTGACTTTCCCAAAGTGAGACGTCAGTGGCCTCAGCCATGGCGGTGGTGGCCATGGAGAGATCCAGGAGGGGGAGATGCAGGATGGTCATCCTGAGGCCCTTGAAGCTGAAGGTCAGGATACCGAAAACAATAACTGATGACCCCAAGTATGACGTGTTTTGTTACGAGCCTGTAGCTCCTCCGACACGACACCGGGTCCATGACCCGGTCGAAGTTGATTGATGACTGTTGGAAATCATCTTGAATGTGAATGACCCTGGAGGCTTAGGTTACTTTGATGGGGTGGTTGGGATTAGTTCTGAACCGCGTGACTGACTTAATGCATAGGTTGGGTGGATGGACACCCAGCTCCTCCCTCATCCCCGGCCGAGATGTACTGATTGGCCCCTGTGACCCGGTTCGGATTGGCTGGCATTGGTCATGGATCATGTGAGTGGACAGTGAAATGTGTAGAGGAAAACGATCAAATGATTACACAAGGAACCAGACAGTATCTCTTCTCACTGCGTGGTTTTTTCCTTTATAATTATATGTGTGTTCTTTGTGGTTGTTGGTTTTGTCTTTTGTTCGTCTCCCCAACGCACTGACACTTGATTAGGGTCAGCGACCTGGTTTGGATTGGTAAGGGTTGGTCCTGGAGCTTGTAGAAGTGGAAAACTTGAATTTTCATCAATGGCCATGTTCCAGTTCCATGATTACTCCTGAGTGTGTATCTTCCCAAAAGTCATCCGAGTGGGCGCATGGCCCGGTGCAACACTTAAACCAAGCTGATGATGATGATGATGATGATGATGATGATGATGATGATGAGGTCGCGGTGGTGGTAGCCGGATACACAAAGCAGGGCATCCAAACCCAAAAGTTCACACTTGGCGCACCGGCCATCCCTGCACCAAAACATACCCACCCCCAAAGAACAAAGTACGCAGCCACTCACGCAGCACAGCCAAGCAAAGCGCCAAAAAGACGTAAAAAGGAAGAACCAGGAGTATCACCAAGACCGAGCCATCACCCTAGACTGGCATATAGCCGTCTGATAGACGTCCCACTGGGAGTCTGGGGAAGAGATGGCAGCCTGGCCGTCACTCCCTCGGGTGTCCCTGAACCGCGAGACGAACAAAGCCCGGCGTCAACGGTCACCGTACTTGCATCCCTGCTTACACATTCAGCTATCGTTCCCCCCTGTCTTGCCGTTCCGTCTTGTACCTTGGCTGCGCCTACCAAGCCCAACCAGGCCCCCTTCAGATCAGCCACGAGTCACCACAGGGATGACACCGTAGGACCCAGAAGCAGGAAAACCAACCAGCCAAAACAGACCAAAGCTCCCCAACAACGTCAATCACGTTGTTGTTTCCTCCAAACCGGTGGCAAAGGGAAGAGCTGACCCTAGGGGACCGCTCAACGTCCCTTGAGCCTAAACCGGCATGGAGTCGCGTGCTCCCGTTCTCCCCAAAAAACCTGAGAAGTGAACTCGAAGAAACACCTGGTACAAACTGGAGAAAACGCCGGACCCGAAGGACCGGATTGGGTTCGCCCTTGGCACTACAAACCCAGAGAAAGCCAACCCGGAACAAATGGAACCCGACTACTTGCAGCATTGATTATATAGATGGAGTTCGGCCAAGCTTACTCCAATTCTCCCCAGAGAGGGCTTGGTTGGGGTTAGTCAGCGGTCATTGTCCCAAGTTTTTGTCCTCCCGCACCACCGGCTGATCGATTGGTTGGCTCAGTGACCTGGTTGGGGTTGCGCCCTGGAAAAAGCCATGAACGTGGAAAACAAGATTGGTTCCACTTCCATCACGATGCCCTATATGTTTTGGTTGGGCGTGGTATCGAAATGGAAAGCTACACCTGATTTTCCACTTCATGACTTGCAGGGGTCATCACCACACCACCAACCGATCGATTGGTTGGGTCACTGACTTGGTTGGGGTGCCAAAGAATGCATTCTCCCTGGTACCAAGAACCAAGATTTGCACCAGGACTCTTGGGAAGAATGTTGGTTCCTGACTGTTCTTTTCATTTCTTCCTTTGTCTCTTTCCCTCCTTCTTGCTCTTCTTCATTTGAAGGTCAGCCCCAAGAACCAGGAACCAAGATTACTCCCAAGAGTTCTGGTGCAAATGTTGGTTCTTGGTTTTGGTTCGAGGGAGAATGCACTTCCCATCAAGAATGCATTCTCCTCACCAAGCTCGACACATTCAAATGACCAACGTTGCTGAAAAGATTTGTGTATATATATATATACATCGTCCCCCCACTTCTGGGCCCGAAAGGACAACTTCCAAAGTGCCGAAAATCTAGTAAAACATTGCAGATACCATCAAACTCATCAAGCTGCAAAAAGTTTTGTGGGGGTACTGAATATGTATATATACAGATATTGATATAAATGTTAGATAATTACACCTACACCAAACCTGTATAGGGGTGACGCATGCATGAACCCGTTGATTGAATCCACGGAGCGTCCCTTCGACCAAGCACTCTTGCATTGTGCATGCGTGGATCCCTTCTCAAGCTGCATGCATGTAGGTTAGCTGAGAATGAGTTCTCGCAAGTACTATGGTTTTGTCTCAGAGGACTTTAGCTTTTTTTGGGAGGATCGCGAATCGCGAGTCAGACCCTTGGTCATGCAAAGCTACCATTGATGCTTCACTGGCTCCCATCAAAAGCTGTTCCCAGACTGCACTTGGCCTAGTTTTGACCCTGAAGTGCCACCCTTGCGAGGGCATGAAGCTGACGCTGCTCAAGCGTTTCTACTTGGGTCTGGCTGGAAAACATCAGCTTGACCAATTTGATTTGGCCGAATGGGAGAGTCAATGAAAACAACATGAGCTGGAGGGCTCGGGAGGATGGGCTGGAAGGGCGGGATTCGAAACCGGTTCTGAGGATATGTTTGGACAGACCCCTTTCCTCAAGATAGGCCCCCATCGAAAGTCTATTCTCATGATATATCCAGGAGCCCTAGGGAACAAACACAGAGTTCCAGCTAAAAAGATCAGTAGTTCCTAACGGTCCTAACTGCTGCAGGATTGGCTGTTTGTGACATACTGCGACGTGGATAAATGGAAACAAAAAAGACACATATGATCAACCATTTTAAGACATGGTCGAACGCCAGCTTGGACGCCCTGTGCCGCCCCCCCACCCGACAGCATCTCCTGGCCAGGCTTAGCAGGCAGCTGCTCCAGGGTAAAGCGTTCGGCCACCTGTGGCCTGCGGACACGCAGGATGGTCTCCAAAGACAGGGTTAATCAAACACTCCGTTTGGATGCACGCACAGGGTTAGTCAACGCGCCCACAAATCGCCTCTTGTCAACAGGGGTGACGGATGCGGGTGAGTAAGTGAGGTGAAAGTGGCATGAGGCCGGATGAACCCCATTTGGATTATAAAGCCTCTTCGGGGGTTGCTATTAATCAAGAATCAAGGTTGTATCAAGAGGATGCCTCGGTACTTCGGGACTGGACGTGTTCGAAGGACCAACTGCGAGGCCGGGGAGGCTGTGCACCTGATCCCCAACGGCCGCGTCTTCCGTGGCTTCGCTGGTGGATCCTCCTCGAAGCGGCCCAACAAGAAGGTGCCGGTGGTGTCCTCGGCGCTGCAGCTGGCTGCGCTGTCTGGAGGAGCGTTCAAGGAATATAATAGAGCACAGCACATCCATTATGTTGAAAAAGGTCCTAGACCTTCCTCCAAAACAAGTCTCAGAATGCATGGGGAAGTTTTATATGAGTTTTATGAGACATTATAACATATTACAACTGCCAGTAGGAATATAAGATAACTATACAACTTGCTGAACGGTGATGTGTGTGTGTGTTGGACTGCAGGAACCACCTGTACTGTAGAACATCAGTGTTGGCTGCTCGATGTTGATTGTGTTCGGAGAGAACTCCTGATTCAGTGCATCGCATGGGCAATTCATTGGACAATCTCACAACCCCACGTTTGCGCTCTCCCGGTGTTTGTAGCAAACACTCTGCCAGCATCTCATATATGTTCAGCACAAGAATACAATACATACTGACTGGAAATAATGACAAACAAGAAAAGGGTTGTCCGTTACGTGCCCTGTGAGTGACGAACACACACACAATGAATATTAATAACTGTAGACGCACTAGCAAGAGCGTCTGCCAGCGCGCCGTTTTCACCTAAGGCGCAGCACGAAATGGCTTCAGGCCTTGATCCAAGCGAACATGAACAACCATGTTCCTCCGCCTGCCCAACACCGAAGAGCAAACTCAACTTTCACAGTTCATCCCCTTCTCTTGTGGCATTTGAGGGGTTGGGCAACGGCTGAACACGGTCACGAGCAAAGCAACAGGCTCCTCAAGCATCGATCGAGGATTCTGGAGCTCTCGCATGTCGACAGAGTCTTCCAACTGTCGCCAAATCACACTATGTTCGCTGTCAAAGCGGGCAAAAGTGGAACGAAACGCATGCGTCGTTCTTGAACAGCGTGGCTCTGGGGTCCTGTACGAACGAGCCTGACGGCACACGTTGACGGCCAAATCTTCATTCAAAATATGCCAACCTGAGCTCTGTGAGAGCTTCATCACATGGCCAAACAACGGGGAGGAGCTTTCAAAAGGGACTCCCATGTCACTTCTCACCACCCTTCCGGTCTGTTGTGAGTTAGCCATGGGCTTCTTACTTTTGGACGTCTGTTTGACGTACTGGGAGGAAAACTGTACACACCACTTGCAATCTCTCAGGATCTTGTGAAGGTGCTGAGGGTCAAGCTCCTTAGTGCCGCAGTCTACGATCATGTTCTCTGTTGCTGTCCAACGCATTCTCGTGTTGCATCGAGCCAGCATTGAACGAATCCAGCTTATGGTGAAAGCTAAACTCTTTTGGCTGCCATAGCTCGGCGTTTCCGAGCAGGATTTGTCGAATGCATCCTTGGCGTCGGTGACAACCAACAGGGGCACGGAATCCGTGCTAAGGTCAAAGGGCTTCCGGTCGAGTGGATGACCGAAAGCTTCGCCAAGCACGCCGCGGCAATATTGCCCGGCATCCAGCGCCTCCTCAATGCCCAACAACTCTGCGGCAAATGTCGATCTGCATACCCGGTTCAGTCTATGAGACCGGGCGTCCAACACTGTGAACTTGCCTTCTCTGCCGCTCATGAGGTTTTCGTCAGCAATGAGGACAAAGTAGGCGGCTTGACTATAGACCTTCTTGATGGCCGCTTCGTGGGAACTACCACTTTTCGTCACATTGCCAAGCGAGGCATCAGAAACAACGAGGATCCCCGCATTCTTCATGTCCAAGGGCTTGAAGTGCAGCGCGAAGTCTGCGTGGAGCTTTGCCTTTCTAACTAAGGCATTAGCGCGGATCAACGTCTCGATGGTCTGGGAAGCACCCTGCAATGTCGACAACTGAAATTGCAAGTCAAAGCGAACTTGCGCTACCAGCCACTGCAAACTCCCGAGGAGAGCTCTGAGCTGGCGTTGTTCCCCAGGCATCAAAGTGGCCTCTGGATTCTTCTTTCGAAGTGGGTTGATGCGCACCTGCTGCAGATTGCTATGGTACTCTTCCATGGAAACTTTCACCGAAAAATCTTCAGCTTGCTCAATCTTCTTTCCACAATAGGTTATGGTTCCGGTGGAGGTGGAACCAAACCCAAGTTCGGCACCCAGCAACTGCAAGGTGTGGTGCGCACGAGGGCCTCCGGCCAGTAGCAAGTCATCCACGTGGGAGATGAGGATGCCTTCCAATTTGGAGCCTGCCCACAGGAACCACATGGCCGAATCCAGAGCTGAAAGTCGCCAACCATGGTGTTGTACTGACTTGCATAACCTCTTATACCAACGACGAGGGCTGTCAGCTAAGCCAAATACTCCCTTTTTCACACGGCATAAGCCTGCTTCAGAGAATGGTAGGCGTGGCTCATCAGGTGCTCGGGTCTTCACGTTGGCGAGGTAGAGGATGCGTTCATTGGGGCCAAACTCTTCACCTTTCATGAATGCCGACTTGATGTCAGCACTTGCCAGCTTCCACTTCATACTGGCGGCAAAGGTCAGCAAAAGATGCTGCGAAGTTCTCGACGCTGTTGGAGCATCACAACGAAGGCCATATGCACTAATGTCTTGGTATCCGGGGACGACCAGCCTGGCGTTGGCCTTGAGTGGAAGGTCCCGGTCTGCCGTCCTCAGTCCGTCATTCTTGTCCACATAGACGAAGCGAGGAACCAAGATGCGGTGGCTTTCACCTTCTGTCTTCAACTTCTGCCTAATGCGGGCAGCTTCGGCATCTGGAAGAGGTTCGATGGCCTCATTTTCAACCCATACGGACCATCCTTTGGCTGCTGCTTCACGGAACTCCTTTTTCTCAAAGTCCGACATGTGACTCCATACATGCTCCTTACGAGCAGTGAGCACTGCAAGCACTTCCTGAGCAGCATCGTCATTGCCAAGGGGCCAAAGTTGCTTCAGCATTTGCCGTCGTCTGAATTCTGTCCTCGAGGGGAGAGGCCAATTGCCACGCCATGTCCCATGGTCTCGGACTCTGGCTTCCAAGGGATTCAGACGATCCTGTTCCGCCATGATCTGGATCTGACGGAGCGGATGCACATTGGCATATGCTTCCATTTCCATCACTTCATGAGTCACTCTCAGGGCTTCTGAAGCTTCATCAGGAACTTCATCTGGAGGTTGAGCCGGAGTTGGAGCAACAGGGTCTGGTTGAAGAGCTTCTTCACGCAAGCGCTCAGCATCCAGTTCAGCAGGCCTCTTGGAAGCCTGTGACTCGCCGCTAGCACTTGGGGCGGCACTGGAAACGCTCTGCCGTCTCTGTTCAAAGGCAGCTCGTACAGCTTCAGGAAATGGAGATGTACCTAAGTCTGGCAAAGAAGAAGTATGCCGAGACCATCCTCTTGAGATAGGACCACCTTGAGCATTGCCGAGGGCTTGCACGAACTCTTGAGGATGTAAAGGTGGTAGATCGGCAGGAGCTTCTTCAGGTACGGCCGAAAGAGGAACAGGTTCAACAGGTAGAGGCACTCCCGTCATCGGTCCACCCTGTGCTTCGGGTTCAGCCGAGGTGGTTGTAGATGAGGAGGTCGTTGGTATCTGTCGATCATGGTATGCCGCATCGATGACTTCCTGAATGGCATCTTGCCATACTTCACTCGCGACTTGTTCCAGGGAGCTGGCTGGTCTCAAATGCTCAATGGCGCACTTGGTCAGTTGTCCTCTGAAACTCACATATCCATTCACATTGCCCTCCAAGGCGACGAGGAGGGCAGGGCCATGCCATCGCTTGAGACTGAGGCGTTTCTTGGATGCAGCTGTTCGGTTGTTGAACCGAGTTTGTCTGAAGAAGTAGACGATATCTCCAGGAGATAGGCCATGTTCTGCAGTCGGTCCTCGAGAACGGGCTAGTTCAGCTCGTCGAAGGCCTTTGGAAAAATGAAGGCGTACCATCGCCAAGCGAGCAGTCTCTCGCATGGCAACTTGTCTGGCCAAACTTGGCCGAGAGTCGATGAGTCCATGCTCACTCAAGCGGCGACCAAAATCACCAAGGCAATCTCCGTGCATCCGGGGTTGCTTTCCAAAGGCAGCTTGCATAGGAGAGACACCAGCGTCGTTGATGTCCGAGTTGTAGGCGCTTACTGCCTCCTGGAGACAAAGTTCAACATCATCTTTTCCCAAGGCCGAATGAGCCTTGATGCACGAACGAAGAATGCCCTTAAGGATAGCTCCACCGCGCTCACATACACCATTCTGCCAAGGGGCTTGGACCGCGGTGTGGTGGAGGTAGATGCTCCATGAACTGCAGAACTCTTCAAACTCAGCAGACACGAACTCCTTGCCCTGATCTGCTATCAGGACTCTTGGTGCTCCCAGGATGGGAAGCCATTTGGTCTTAAAGAAGCGCTCCACCATGCTCGAACTTTTTGTTTCCAAAACTTCAGCAAACTGCAGCCTGGAGACATAGTCAATTGCATGGATCACATAGAAGCGCTTTTCGCCAATGTCTTCAATCTCAAAGAGGTCCACATGGACCTGGTCGCCCACATCCTTGGGTAGTGGCAAGGTAGCAGGCCGTCTGGCCTTTGGGATCTTCCGCTCGTCGCAAATTGAACATTTGAAGTGACGAGCGGCATGGATGATGTCCGGAGGGGCACCAGTGATCGCCAGTGCTCTGGCTAGGCGACGGCCAGATCGGTGGCCCGTGTTTTCATGTAGGCGTCGAAGAGCTTGCTTCACAGCAGCTGTCCAGTGACAGCTTCAGTGGACTCCTGATCAGAGTCACTCAGGTTCATGTCAATCGGCAGGGCGGTCTCATCTTCAGCCTCCTCACCGTCTTCGATGGCAAGGATGTTGTGTGGTCTTTTGAAGTCAGCTTCAAACTGCTTTTCCATGCCAACCACCAGGGCCTTTGCGAGGGCCCACGGATAGTGGCCAGCGGGCTCTGAAACAGCTTTTCCCCCAATGATGTGACCATGAGGGTGATTGCCAAGACACTTCATGCCGTCCAGTTGGGAAAGGACCTCATCACTCGAAGTGGCTATCCGCGTAGCTTTCCGAAGCAGGTCACCCGCCTGGTTCTTCAAGTTGAATCGGCATTGGTGGAAGACTACACAA